AAAAAAATTGGATGAATACCAAAGAGTAAAATATATAATAAAATTTAGAAATTAAATTGAACATTATTATTTTACTTTACCTCCACTGAGGCAACTGTGATGTAAGGATATAGCAAGAATTTTTATATGAGAATCATATGGAATAACAAGCAAAAGTTGGATAACAAGCACAGATCAGATAAATTAAGTTGTTATACTATGTTAAATAAATAAAATATATTAATGCTAGATTAATAATTGTATCGTAAAACATATAGAAGTTAAGGTTTTTGAACTTATTATAATTGTTGGCAGCGGGAATGGTAGAAGAGGTGGGTTGCCAAGGTCCCTGAACAGGCCTGCGGAACTAGGGTTTGCTCAAAATATTCAGGATATAAACTACACCTCATGTATTTTGGGTTCTCTCATCCTGAAGGACGGCGATGACATATTATATATCGTTTAGCAGAGGATACAGCTTCGTTTAATAAGGTCATAAAGATAAGATGTAACCTTATCTTATTGTTGAATACTATAATACGCAGGAGGCTTACTTAAATAATAGGATCTTCAGAATTGGAATGGAATTTCAAAAAATGGTAAATAAAAACATAGTTCTATTATATAACACAAAATGAAAAATTTATTTCACGGGTATCCGAACAGATAATGGACTGGTAATGATACAAAGTGCGTAGTTAAATTTTTTTTCTAGCTAGTCCTTGATGAAGGAATAGATTGATCACCCTAGAATAACTTCAACTTTAAATTCACTTCTATACCTAACCGTATCTGATCTAAAAGTTATAATTAACTTGGCCCCTGAAATGGTAATGGAGAAGAACATTGAAAAGTAAAGGTGGAATGGAAGAATCAAAGAGGGGAAAGCCTTTTTGTAAAAGTGAAGCTCCAAGTTTGTAAGTTTGTTTTCAGACAGGGCGGATTCTCTGGTCAAGACTTGAATAGCGAAGCCCTTTATAGCACGGAGGGATCAGAGGAAATAATTTCAAGTTTGCAAACGATTCTAGAAATAGAGATCGATGGAACTTTGAAGATTGGCAATTCAGGAAACAATATAAGGCTAATATTCACAAAGAGCATGGACTTACTGGTTTGGAAGAAATTGTATGGCTTATGTTTGGAAATTGAATAGTTTTCGTTAAGTAAAAGTAGCAGATTTTATTAGAAAGTAGACTATTTTATAAGGGTGCTTTCTTAAAATATCTAAATACAATCCATATTTTTATTTTTAACATTATTTCTCAACCCACATCTATCAGAAATACTGACAAGCAGAGAGTATGCCGTCGGAAAGGGAAGTAAGCGAAAGTTCCTAAACTCAACGGCAGTTCATTGCTGGACTTCCGATACTCTTCAAAAATCTCATGAGAGCTGAGTTTAGGAACTTACTCACTGTTATATCTATGAGTTTAGGCCGACCTACTGGATTTCCAATGCTCATCTATAATATCAGTGCTGAGTTCAGGAAATTTTCTTTCAATAGTTCTAAGACATTGGATAAGTCTTTATTTAAAGTATATTGCTGACCTACCAGGGAGCTTTAGTTATAGTTCTGAATATTTTTGTTTCAAAATTTTGTAGTTTAGGTATGTAAATGTTTTTGGATGTCCCATATATCTGCGAATCGTAGGTACGAATGGGCTTAAGGAACCAAGTATAAGTTTATATGTTTAATGGGTTAAAAGTAGGTAAAAGAAAAAAAAAATAGTTGTAGTGTTTTTGTTTATGTACTCCATGATATCCTTCGGTCAAATAGGTCCACGATATTGAATTTTGACTGAGGATTTCAGAGGTTTTCTAGGTATATAGAATTTATACGTTCTATATAAATTCAAAAACAATAAATTTTAAAATTACTTTTGTATAAAAATTATCGCGAACGCATTAAAGATGATTAAACAGCAACCTAAATAGTTAAGGGTTGGAGACCCGCCCCGATATACACCCCTTTTGGTGAAAGGCCATTGTGACTGTGATACAATATAAATATCTCGGTGGCTGGAGGGACGGACGAATATAGACAGGGGATGCTAATAGAGGAGCCATCGGTGTAGAGAAGAGGGCTCTCATTGGTCGATAACAATGGCAAGGGGAACCAATGGCCAGCGGTCTACCACCTTCATGGCTTACTTAGATCTGGTCACTTCTGAGGGGGGGAGAGGGACAGTTCGTCCTTAATGGATTATATTTTTTTTTAAAATAACATATTGTTTATATATTCGTTGAATTTTATTAAGTCAAATAAGCTAACTAGACTCAGGAGTATACAATAGGTGATTTATTTTCAGTGAGATATACAACATCAACTTTGCCGATAAATTAAACCAATAGCAGTTTGTAATGGTGGAGAAAAACTTTATTGTAGATAAAATGGTTTAGAAGTTAACAACTGGAGTTTGCAGTCACAGTGAGAAAAACTAATAAAAATTATCTCATTTTTTCCGACGTTTCGGTCCAATTTTATGCCTTCATCAGGGCTGTGGAGAAAAAATATAATAACCATAAAAAATTATTACACGCCTATTATAAAAATATATTAAAATAAAATTAATGTTTTTTTTCCATTATTGTTTGAGATATCGGGTAAATCTAATAACTAATCACACATTTTTTTATTTATTATTTATTAATGAAAGTTTCGAGAAATCTCTGTCCACCGTCTCCCTCTTCAGCAACTAAAATTATATAATTTTATTTCTCAAAGTTTATGGTACATCGAGTTGTAGTAAATAAAAAATTACATAATTTGTGAATACTGTTACAAACTAAGCGAAAATAGTATATTTCAATTAAATTATATAAAGAAATGTTTGTTTAATGTTGTTATAAACTGATATAGAGGATAATTGACAAATTGAAAAATATAAATAATAATTTTGAATTTATTGAAGATATGGGGATCCAAACGCAATTTTCGTTTTAATTAAACACTGACGTCTAAGATATGTATCCACTTGAGAAGATTGAATTTAAAATTTAAAATTATATAAATATTTATTTTTGTTGTAAAACCATGACGAATTTTATCTGATTAGGAATTAGAATGAGTAGCGATAAAACATAAAAAATTCGTCTCATAATTTTGGTTATGATTACTTAATAGAATAAAGTTACTTAAAAAAAAAAATAGATCTTGTCCAAAAGAATTATTAAAGTATCTTTTTCTTTATTTTCGTAATCTAATATTCCACAATAAAAAAAATTATTGTTGAAGATATAGAACGAAGAATCCAACCCAGGCCTTGGCACATGCCAAATGTGATGACAAAACAGCTAGGACGCTACGCAATATGCATTTTAACATAAACATAGAATCAAAGGCGCCAATGTCGCAGCGACATGTGCACATTGCGTTGGGATGCAAAATAATATTGAATCATCATACCAATTTCATATTTATGATATATATGGCGCCGCGAGTGACAAGTTAAATAATAAGATGGCTGAAAAAAAATCAACAATAGGATAATAGCTTATCCTCACTGAAGCCAAGGATAATCTTTATTTTCTTGAACGTCGCAGTCGATAGGAATATTATAAAAATTGTAAATAATATTTAAAAAAAAAAAATCACATGGCCAATAAAGAACCTTTCGGAATCGTCTCAAAGAATTTCTGAGTGAGATGTTCTTAGTCTTGATTTTTTGAGTAATTATACTGGCATTTCATGTATATTTAATTCACAAACATTACCTAATTAAGGATTTTTATAGATTATCATTAATCCATGATATAATTTCTAATCAAGTGTTTTAAACGTCTCAATATTAGGTCAGAGAACTGTAAAAATAAGGAATCCGTAAACAATTAAGGATTAAACGGAAACAGGAGATTAACCAACAAGAGATTTCCGAAACCTTATCAATATTATTTTAAATATTTACAAAACTTTTAGACTGATATTTTTAAATTTATAGATTGAGGCATGTATTTTCAATTTATTAGTAAGAATTACGTATAGTATTTGTTAAAGTAATGAGAAGTTTAAGTTCTAATAATTATACATATATAGTGGAAATGAATATTTATTATTTATGAAATTTAATTTCGAAGTAGGCTTAAATTTATAGAGACTCTGATCCAATTCATCAAAAAGGGATACTTTTATAAAACTGAATAAGAACTCCTTTCATCCAATTTTATCCCAGAGGAAATTCTATATTTCTCCTTCTCTTAAACATTGGTGGGAAAACGGAGTACATTATTAATTGTGCATCGAGTAAGTAAATGAGGCAACGGGACTGGATCAATTTAAAATAATTTTATTATTTTATAGAAGCGTCTCTCCAGTCAAATTGTCTGAAGGGAGTCCTTTTTCATCGAGTTTCATAAAAGTAATCCTTTTTGACGGAACGTTCAAGAGGAGATAGAGGAATGAATATGTATAGCAACAATAATTATGACCTAACTCAATTTGATGTTATGATATTATTAAAGGAATCCATTATAAAACTTAAAGTCTGCTCAACTAGCAATAAATAAGAAATAACACGATATTTTTTAAAGCCAGGCGTTATCACAGTGAAAAATAGAAACAGATAAGAGGCAGTACATCTTACATCAACAACTCTTTTCCTTCAGTATATATTAAACTGTCTTGGAGTAAGGGGTGCCCATCCCCCCTAAGGTCGATAGTGCATGAACTTACTCTTCCATTCCATAATATAATATATTGCTATCCTCTTTTTAAAAACATTAGAAATAAAAGTATCTTAAATCATGTACAATTACACTTGCTGAGGTTTGTTCCATGTATTACTTTCGTCCCCGGTTTCGAAACTTTTCAATACGAAAATTCATAACTCCGTCGAAATGTGCCTTTTAAATAATTTTGATTGCGCAACTTGCGTCATGAAATCCCCGTCTGAAGTCCCCTGCTTGGAGGGATTTCTTTTATTACTTAATTTTATTTATTCCTTTTTTAAGAAAAAAAATATATGCGAGTTAGGAATAATATAAATTAAAGATTAGTTGAAAAAATTTTAAGTTGTTGTTAAAAACTAAATACACCTATTAGCGAATTGGAGGAAAAACAAGGCAGTTGCTGATACTTCTTTTCCCTGGAAAATTCCAGGTGAGCCGTTTCTCCCTGATTGTCCATGGTCCTGGTATCCTTTCACTTCCGGGAGCCGCTCAACGCCGGGAAATGGAGTTCTATAGGTCGTCCCTGGTCTATCTCTCTTACACTCCAAGGGGTACCCAGCTCCAGGTGGACCAACAACCATCGAGATACTCAATTCTGATAATATTCTCTTTCTATTTCCAAAGTGTGAATATAATAATAAATTCGTTGTATATACATATATGAGTATATCCAGTAGGAGGTGTATTATATTGTGCATGGTGTGGATATCCTATGGTCTCAATCGAACTTGCAGATTCAAATGAATAATTTCCGTAGGTGACTTCGAACAATGGCGTTCAGTGCTTACAGTGGATTTGAATTTCTAATCAAATAAATAATTCTCTATACATATGCCATACACCATAATGACCGTAATTCTTTAAAAAAAAAGAGTTTACAATAGTATCTAAATTATTATAATGGCGACGATTCATATATTCAAACAATAGTGTTCGTATTTTATTATTACACGGATATCTCTGTTTATAAATTTTACATAAAAATAATAATATATTTCAAACCATAATATAATAAATAAATTTCACAGTGATTAAACAAGGATTCACTTCGTTTTTTTTTTAGGTCTATAAATTCTTTAAGTTGAAATCTATTTTTTGATAATTACAGTAGCTTTAATGAATTTCTTTCTCGCTGTAATACAAGAATTTATTTTTTCTTTATATAGCACTATACTGTTTTTCTCAAAAAAAATAAATAAATAAAATAACACTGAAGTTCAGGAATGCAACCATTTAATTATTTCAGTGGGTTATTAGATATTGAATAGTTAGCGGTATTTGATTTAAATAGCAATTATTTTTTATTTTCAAACGGTTTTCATTTATAAAAATTAATATATTAAATCTAAAATGTTCCAGTAAAATCAAAAAGTAAGTTTTAAGTACTAAAATAATATTCCAGAAGGAATTTTATAACATAAGAAAATATATTTATATTACTCCGAATTAAGTTTATTTTCAATATTATGCTGTTATTATTAATACCGTTTCAATAATAGAAAATTGGATACAATTTTGTAAAATATTTACTTTTAATTATTGCATAAAATTATTAAATTAAAAGCTTAAAATAATAGTAACTATGACATAAGATTACTTACAATAATAAGGCTTTTTTCAGTTGATATGTAGTTTTAAACAGCAGAAAATTAATGCAGATTTAATGGTATTTACCTGTAAAAAAAAAAAAATTATATTAATATTGACAATGAAAAAAAAAATAGTTTCTTAGAGTATAAACATAAATAAATGATAGGAACTGTAAAGAGCTCTAGAGAGATAAGTAATACAGTAGTAAGGAGGTTAATCGTATGCGCGGGACCGTCTGGTTTCAACGCATAGAGCCTCTTGTCTGTAGCTAGAGGTCACTAAACTATCTTCTCACTAGTTTATTTTCTGGGCTAAGTTGTCTATTCTAATATATTGTTTAATAATTTATTTGAAATTATTATTGACGATATTCTTAATAATAGGATTAGAAAACTCGTAAGAAACAGTATCATATAAAGAAAAAATAATGACTATTATAATATATAAAAAATATATGACGATAAAACACAATCACATCCATACAAATATATAATATTTACATCCAGCCTGAGCAACTCCAAACCAAGAATTTTTAAGATCTACATTAGAAAAAGCAAGCACTCAATAGATCACAAACCTTTAGTCGTTGGTTTCCAAAGTGAATTCTAATCATTATTGAAAACTTTTCGGAAACGCGAAAAAATATTCTAAGCATAATTTAAAAATAAATTTAAAAAAATAAATTAGGAAATTTTTTTTATTTGTAGAACATATTTCCGAAAATTACAGATTATTCCAGTAGTAATGAAAAAGAATTGGAACTTGAGAGGGGTTCCTTTTGGAAAGAATTTAACACCAATGCCCGTTTTTGAACAAAAAAAAAAAAGATCATTGAGGATCAGTTTAGAGAGCAAAAGTAGTTCTTAAAAATTAAACTGTAAAAAATTAAGTTTTTATTATGTTAATAATGGTGAAATAAAATTAATTCATTTTTATTTCACATAACGTTTAAAAAAAAAATTATAATAATTTTTTTTCTAGAATAGTTAATAAATGCAAGTTTAATTAAATTCCTAGAAAAAAAATGGCTGGTTTCGGAAAAAAAAAAAACTGATGTTTACACCGCTTGTTTTAATATTCGGGTTCATTTTTTTAAAATACATATGATTGCATAATCTCGATTTCCAAAAAAAAATCTCAGTACATCTTTTCTTCCGTATCACTGATATTTAAAAACTAAAAAAAAAAGTGTAGGCTGAACGAAACCTGTGATAAATACATGAATTAAGTTTGTGAGATAAAACAAGCATTTAAAGAATAAACTCTTTTGATATCTATCGATCATCAATGCCGTGTTATCAGAACTGAGCAATATATTTTGGAGGAAATGTTTGATGGTACGATATACATAAAATTTATTCAACGTTGCAGAATAAATAAAAAAAATCTAAAAAATATTTAATGACAAGGAAGCAGACCAGTGACGAATTTCTAATTAGTTGTCATTAATTCATTCTTTTTTTCTTTTTTTTTATCTCTTACACAACATTTTTCCCGAAAGAAAGACACCATCTTATGCCAAGGAACAGTTTGCAACTAGCTAAGCACTGCAGTTACTGCAGATTCACGGTTGTCAGTTTCACGTGATCTCTCCCAAATTCGGTTCCGGGCTTAAGAAGTCACCGTGCTTTTTTTTCCGACAGGTTATCAGTTACGGACAAAATCAATTTCCAGAGATTCCATGCTGGAACAGATTGCCCAATGATGGTTTCCAGAAAAGAAAATTGCACAAGGATCGCGTTAATGCATATGGATTGCGTTATCACGTATACATATATATGTGAAGATAAACTAACAAGGAGTTTATGTATGTAATTTTGAATGCGACAGTACTTCAAAAACTAGACCAATAAGAGAACGAATAAACGCTAACGGAAATAGGCGAGAACCACGCCAGAGGAGAATTTCCACGGGAAACGCATTATGTAGGATCATGAAAACCATATTCAGAATCGGCTAATGGGCTTCATAGGTGATAGCTCATAATTCATAATTTCCATGTCGTGAGGCAACACTCACGATAGTATGTTTCTATTTTCTGGTTCATGATGATTGAAATTTCATCATAATCTGCTATAATATATTTAATATAATTTATTTCTCTCCATAATATTTTCTCAGAAGCCTAAGTATATTTCAAGCATAGCTTAATAAATCTTGCAAAATACATAAAAATATTAATTTATTAAATTTATAACGTTATATTTAATGCTATATTTTATTGCTCTTTATAATACATGAAACATCCAGAATAGTTAAGTGTCTCAGAATTTCTAATGCTATTTTCTTGATAAAAGATATTAAATATATAATAATTAAAATGGTAGCATTAATATGAGAATTGATAAATATAAACATGGACTTAATTCTAATTTGGAAGATATAACAATTATATATAAGTGATATGACTTCAAGACATTAAATTTTCCAACTAAGGAATAGATAATATAATAACAAAATAAGGAAAATAGAGCCAGGAGGGAGACTCATTGGAAATTCTCGTTAAAATATTTTATATTATAATTACCAAAAATATAAAATAATATTATGAACTTTTATAACAGGATAATTTCATTGATTATGGCCTCAATAATATTTAATTTACACTCTTTATAATTTTTTAAAGTTTCTTTGTTCTGGAAGATATAAGGAAAATACCAATGGCAACCCTTATAGAAGGATATCTAAACTTTACTGAACTACTCGAAATTTCGTGGCAAAGAATAAGCATCTATGATTTGGCATAATATATATATATATATATATATATATATATATATATATATATATATATATATATATAAATAATTCCAATAATTGAGCAGTTTTAAGAGTACCTTTTCTGAATTAAGAGAATGAATTGAGAGCAAGTAGTGGTTCTTCTAAGTATTATCATATTATTGAGTACTATCAAACTAGTGGAGTTTAAATAAAATAAAAAAGGTGAATAATGTCTATATATTACGAAATTTCTTAATTGAATTGACTTTTATCATTAAAGTTATTAACAGTAATATCATACTTGTATAATAATATTAAGTTGTAATTTTATCTTATTTATTTATCTGTAGTGAAAATTCAAAAATTAATTAAAGTGAGATATTGTTTTCTCACAGGCTCAGGAATATAATAGCCATTATAATAATACCTACTGCACATTAATTTTCTAATTGCTTGATGTCGGTTGCTTAATACTGCGGACTCATTGATTGTACAGCAAAAGGTAAATACAAACACAATCAGAAAGCCTATTGATTGTTATTCGGTTTCAACCAGTTAGCACATGACCTTATCTTCATGAGATGTCAGTTATCATGATCGCCTGCATCAAACAGTAGGATGGGAGCGGCACTTGAAAGCCAGCGCTGCAGCAGAAACTTAGTTAGCCAAGATCGTAAAATACCAAGTGGCCTATAAAACTAGAGAAGGTTACACCATTGATAGGCCTAACTGGGCGGTTAGGCGCTCATCACGTATCCAATGCCGGCTTCTTCGGAATACAGATAGTTCCTTCCTTTAGCTATCCAGGTCTTGCGAACAAGTTTAATAGCAGTTTCGCCACTGCCCTACGGCTCTTCTACTCGTGGTGTAATAGTTGAGGTATAAAACCTATTTCAATCAGTCGATAATGGTACCGGCATTGCGGTGCGCTGAAGTTAGATTGAGTATGGAGTTTGAAATGAAAGGTGTCTATTGCTTGCCTGATCAACAACCTATCAGACATTACAATTTTATATTTGTCACGATACGGTTTGGTGAAGATTCGTAATTTGATAATTATATCGAAATAGATATAAAGTAATTTGAATGAATCACTATTTAAGGAAATTATTTAAGGAAGCCCTCGCAGAGACATACTATTTTTTTTTTTAATTCAATACATAATTAATTGATTTATATATTATCAAACAATATTATTTTAATCGCAATAAGATGTTTTACAAACTGATCCAAAGAGTGTAAAAAGATCCATTTTTAGTTGCTCGATAGC